ATGTGGCAGTACAAGGTACACATCAGCATTGACGATCTGAATCTTGGGATTTTTTGAATCAAGCAGATCTCTGAGGAGATACGGTTGATCTCCCCGTATCCCTTTGTCTTCCACGTCATAAATGCTGGCTCAGCATTTGAGGGACGTGACAGCTAAAGGCGGCGCAAGTTATGCAGAAGGGACGTTAAGCGTGTGCCACGTGTATGACGCGAATTGGCGCGTCAGAAACACGCGTACGGCAATTAACACTACCATATCCTTCTCTGCGTAACCGTTTCCTCTTTCATTTTTGTTTCTGTGTTTGTTTAAGCTTTTCCAAATTCTTTGAAGCAGAACCGCCCCAGCTTGAAAAACCAGTACATCGAATCAACTCCACCTTCAGTTTCAGGTAAAAATGGTTTCATTAAGAGAACTCACAGAGCAACGAGGTAACTAGGGCAGAGAAGGGGAAGAGGAAGGGGTATTGTCAGTGGAGCCTATCACAATGATAGTGCCGCCGGAGTTGCAGGATGTGCCGGAAACAGTGGCGTCTGAGAGCAGCGCCAGTTCCAGCGCCAGCGACAATGGTGGCGACCACCCTAGTGCATCGTCCAGCAGCTCGTCTACTGAACACACGCCAAGCCGCGAGGAGGGGGTAGGGGATGTTGTGAGTCCTGTCTCAAATCGGCCTGCAATGGATGAATGGGAGAGCTAAGCCATCCCGAGCAGGTTGAGCAATTTGCGGAAGGCGCCAAAGGACCTGCCCGCCGGATTCAAGTTCAAGGCTGCACTTCACCACGAAGTAGCAGATTGTGCGCCCTCCATAAGCGGGTATAAAAGGCTGGAGGAGATGGTGAGGGCGTACCACATCCCCCAGACCATACTGCTGCGGACGGGCGCGCAGAACGAAAGGGCCTGCACAGTGTCACCGACGGGCTGGATACCAGTGTATGCGGACCACTTCGATGCCGGACTACGGTTTCCTCTGCCCGGCTTGATATTCGATCTGCTCGCAGAATACGAGCTGGCGTTGACGCAACTAACGTCCAACAGCATAAGGTTCATTATTGGCTTTATGCTGTTGTGTGCGCGACTAGAGGTACCAGCCAAAGCGATAGTGTTCAGATCGCTATTCCAGTGCCGGCTGTGTCCGAACTCACAAGGAGCGAGGTGGTATTACCTCTCTGGGAGGGACAAGAGCCAGCTCTTCAAAAATGTGAGGAACAAGGTGGCAAGGTGGAAGAAGCAATTTATTTTTGTTCGCGACACGCGAGCAGAAAGGATAAGCAACGACCTCGCTGTCCGGCTGTCTGAGTGGCGCACACCAAACGCCCACATCAACTACCCCCAGCTGCTGCCCCGGGATGTCGATCTGAAGAACCAGTTGCTTCAGTATGCGCAGGGGGAGGGTCTCATAGATTTGGAAGCCCTGGTTACCTCGGAGCAGCTCGCCCTGTTCGGGTTTGTCGATGTGACAAACCTGTTCAGCGAAGGTATATTTTTATCATGTAACTTAGATTCTAGCCGAGCTGAGGCTTATGCATTTTTTTGTGCAGGAGAAATGAACAGCATCCTAGAGCTCCAACGACAACGTGCCCAAGCCTCACGAGGTCGCGGGGGTAGCAGCGGGCAACCCAGGCAGACGCGATTTGACGAGCGGCCACCCCCAGCGCCTCAGTCACGTGGCTCGTCACACAGGGGATCCAGCTCGTCGACAAGGCCGCGAGCAGGTCACAGAGTTGAGGTTGCAGCCCCGGGTGCACGCAGACGTGCACGGGAGGAGACAGAGAGCGAGGAGGACGAGGTCCCCCTTGCTAGGCGCGTAAGAAGTGGGGGGACTCAGCCCGCGCAGGCGGCTCGCCCTACAATGGTGCGTTCGCCCAACGCACCGTCAGCGACTGTGCGTGCAGCAGTGGAGCCCGCCACTGCATCTGCCTCGATGGGCCCCAGGATTGCTTATCCTGAGGGCTTCACTTATGTGCGGGCAGAATTGCAGCCTGCCATGGTGCAGGCTATGCAGAGTTTTGTGCCCCCTTTTGACAATAAGCGGGCCAAAGCCTTTGTGCAACAGCATGGCGGTCAGGTCGCCATGATTAAGTTGATGGATGTAAGTACCTGCTCGTACCTGCTTGAATATTTTACTTTTTCTTTTTAGAGACTGACAGTGACAACTGTTTGACAGGCGTTCAATTACGCGGTGGCACTGTACGAGAGCGAGCAGGCGGCTCG